TTAATTATGACCATTTGACTGCGGCCTGGACAGTCTGCTGCTATCGGATTGGGCAGCTTCTGCTGGTTTTATTTCCTGGAGTTAAGGCAGAGAGGGAGCGGCTTTTCTCCTGCATGGAGGAGAGCAGAGACATGTTCCATGCCCTGCTGGCTGACAGCTGCCTAAAATCCCGAGATTAAACACTGATTTCTCCACAGAAATGGAGTCCTGGGGCAGCAAAGCCAGGCTCTGCAAGGGTGCACTTTTAAGTCTCCAATTCCATAAACAGACCAGGCATGCTGTTCACACCCGGGTGCTGTCCCCAAAGTCCTGCAGAGCCTACTGTGGCAGAAGCAGGTGGGGACGCCGGTGGCAGCTGTAAATCATGTGTATGCCTGTGTGTTCTGCGCTGGAGTGCAGTTGGCACCAGGACTGGCTTTCCAAATGCTGGTGCCTGAGTTAAAGTCCAGAGAGACCACTCTGAGTCCAGGTACCAGAGGTTAGCAGCTGCTAATACATTTATTAACCCTCTGGTGCCAGAGACCAGAGAGGTCTGGCCTCCCAGTCACAGAGCCCTGGAAATTCTATTCCGGGACATGCCTGGACTTGTTGATCACCACTGGGGGCAGTTTTGAGACAGCTGCGGAGGGGACAAAGCCTATGGAGCCTCTGAAGGGTAGGGTTCTGTGGTTCCCCAGAACGAGGCAAGGCTTTGCAGCACGCTCTTGCCCGTTAATCCTTGAGATGAGAACCTCAAGGTGCTGTGTCTTGGTGGTGACCTTTCACACAAAGCAGAGTCCGGGGGCTTTGCTCGAACCACAGGACCAGAAACTGATAGGAAAAACTCAAATAAAAGACATTAAATAATTCATTTTTTTCAACCTACTGTAATAATTGTTCAAATTAACTATTAGAAAAAAACAGAATAGATGCTTCGTTTTCTCTGTCCTTTTCATTTTAAAAGTCATATCCTACTTTTAAGCCAGTGACTGTTAGGGTCAGTGTCCATGTAGGGGTGGACTGCCGAAGCTCTCGGTCCTGTGTCTGTATGTCCCTACCTTGTGCCGGGACCCATAGCAGGGCTCACACCCTGTGCCAGCGCATCTTCATGGAGCTGCTGGCTTTACCAGTTTGCATATGTGTGTGTGTGTGTGTGTGTGTGTGTGTGTGTGTGTGTGTGTGTGTGTGTTTGGGGCAGGTTTTAGTTTCGTTGATTCCATATCAGTTTTTGGCAAACAAAGAAATCCTTAAGTATGTAAGTTCTTCGGCAAATATTCAGCAGTTGTTGAAGGGGGGGGGGGGGGCCCTGTAATTTTGCATTTGACTTTATCACAGCTGACTAGCAAGATGGGTTACTTACTGATGTAAATCTTCGAAACATAGAAATAACAGGTTTTGTGGGCTTCTTATAGACACAGGTTTTCTTGAGGACATCATGGGTCTTCCGTGGTTTGTTTCCAATCCTCCGTGGTCACTGGGATTCGTGCTGTGTACAAGATTCCTGAGTGTGAATCCAGGCAGTGTGCACAGCCCTCTGCTTGCTGACCCCATGTGGTGTGGGTATTAGACAAAGCTTGGTTGCAGTTAATTCCAGGGTAGGCATGGGCCCTGTGGCCTGCATCTCATCGGGTAAGGGGCTTAACCCCACCTTCCATCTGTGCGCAGTCCTTTGATTTTATTCTTTGAGTATCACTGCCTACACTTTCTCCTTAGTGGCACATACCTTACAGTGTCTCCTGCTAGGTTTGGTCAGATCCTGAAAGACTGCTCTGTTTACCCTACTCGGCAGTCATGGTGATAACTCCGGCACCAGATGGCTCTGCAGGAAGCTTGCTAAGTGCTTTCTGGAAGCAGGGTTTAGAGACCTGCCTTGGCCTGTGGACAGCCAAGCCTCTGAGAGCTGCGACAGGGAAGCCGCTCTGGATTGAGCAGCACACTCTCACTTGGATTCGGCGTTCTGTTGTAGTTATGCCCACCAGGATTGCCCTCCAGCTATAAGATAACTCTTACAAGTCCATAGGCTGCTGCTTTGGGGAGCAGGAGCCCATAGATGACAGACTTGGGTCTGTTCTAAAAAAATGCATTTTCCTGTGCCAGTAAGTGGTCACTGCAGATGCTCTTTGAATGAAGACATAGCTGGGCAGTTTAGATGCAGGCATGTTGACCTGTTGGAGAGCTTAGAAACATGTTATTTAGAGTGAGGCCCTCAGTGATGGGGCATAGATGTCTACCCATGTGTGTGAAAACCCAGTAGAACGTCTGGCAAGACAGTAGTCCTTTCTGGTTAGAGACTGGAAGTCCCATTATAGTCCTGTCCGCATGGGAACATTCTCCTAAGACTGCCCCAGGTTGCACAATGGCAGGTTTGTGGGTGCCGGTCAGGCAATGGGGAGGGCCGCTTTGCAATGACCACACTCCAGCAACAGCATGAGTCCACACTGCCTCACAGTCAGAGGTCCTACCGTTTCCCCAAACCGTCCGTGCGTGGATTAGCTGGGCAGGAGTCCCTCAGTGGGGACTTTGTCTTTTGTATCTTATGGCCAATAAAGAAAAGCCAGAATGGGATGTTTTAGCACCATTTGGGTGCCTGGGCACAATTCCAATCTTGACGTCCTACACATTATTCTCTGTAGATAGCAGAGCGGTGGCTCAGACCTGCTGTTATTACAGATTAAAAGGAGGCTTTTGAGTAAGTTCAATTCTGCTTGAATTTCCCCTCTGATCTTCTTATTCATAACATTTAGTGACCTTTGAACAGCCCGGGATGCTTCGCAGTGTCTTGTTCTTGAAGCTTGCTTAAAGGTTTCTATTTCATATTCGTGGCTGGCATATGCAAATATGTAAAGATTATGATGCCTTCCCAGTGGCATTCCGGTCAACTAATCACTCCTTGGGCGAGCATGCTGTCGTATAGCCTCTTGTGGAGGCTCACAGCACACAGGCGGCCTTTTAGCAGCCTGCCCCAGAGCTGGTGGGGAGCTCGGGTATTCCTTGACTCAAAGGTGATTGTTTATCAGCGTTTGTCTTCTCCACGGACAAGCTCTCCGTTGGTGTCGAAGGATGCTGTCATTAGGGCTGAGAGTGGGTACTGTGGGAAGGGTGGATTTGGGGAAGACAGAGACTGAAGCAAGTCTGTGTGTTTTTCTAGAACTGAAGAGTCCTGTATAGTCCTAATTAGTCCTAATTAAAAAAAAAGTCAGACATGGGGGTAAATGCTGAAAGATCAGAGAAGCCAGCCAGCCACTAGAGAGATTTCTTACCTCTATTGAGTCCTCAAACCAAATAGACTAACCTATCTCTGCAAACCCTCAGGCTGAATGTCATGAGCTCCTGTCTCCTCCCACCTTATGTACCTCTCTTCGCTGCCCCAGTGCTGGGATTAAAGGTGTGAGCTTCCACAACCCAGTCTCTTTCTTTGATTGAATCTTGTGTAGCCCAGGGCGACTTTGCCCTCCTGATCTTTCTGCTTCATCCTCCCAAATGCTAGGATTAAAGGTGTGTACCACCACTGCCCAGCCTCTACTGGTACACGAGTGGCTAGCTCCACCCTCTGATCTCCAGGCAAGCTTTCTTTGTCAAAAACAAACTAAACATCACATAACAGTCCTGGTTGCATTCTGAATCTGCAAACATCTTGCTGTGTGATCAGTCATTTAACTCTTCTGGGCTTAAGTTGTTGGTGTTTATAAAATGAGTTTGTACTGAGGGTAATTGTCATGGTCCTTCCTTGCCATTGTCTGAGTAAGGGAAATATCTCTTTTACCGGGTCCTCAAGCATAAGCCCAGTTAAGGGGTAAAGAGAGATTAAGGCCTTCACTGCTCAGCCCACTCACTAGCGCCTACCTTGGAGACAGTTTCTGAGTTTCTGTGTCGGGGTCTGTCTTGCTTACTACTCTATGGCTGTAAAGAGACAGCAAGGACCAAAGCGACAAAATAAGTTATTTAACTATGGGCTTGCGTATAATTTCAGAAAGTTAGTCTTGGTTAATAATGGCGGGGAGCATGGTGGCAGGCAGGCAGGCAGCAGTGGAGCTAAAAGCTTTTACATCCTGATCCAGATCCACACACAGGAGGCTGAGGAGGGGAGGGAGGGGGAGGGAGGGAGCTGAGGAGAGGGGTTTGATCTGACATGAACTTTTGAAAGCTCAGAGCCCACCCCCTGACATACCTCCTCCTCCTTCCTAAACAGTTCACCCACAGGGAACCAAACACCTGGGTCTGTGGGGGCCACCCTCGCTCAAACCACAACAGGGTCTGCAGAGTTGTGTGAGCCCTCCAGGTCATCCGTCTGCGAGTCCCTGCAGAGGTGCTTTAACCCCCAGCCGTGGAAACAGGCAGCCCCATGAACACGGTTTAGGGCCTGAATTCTCTCAGCTCCCTTCCAGGCCCAGCATTGGGAAACATCAAGAGCCTGGAGCCTGGGGCAGGGGTTGGGAAATAAGGAAAGCACCAAGCTTCCGGGAGACTGTTACTAGTACGTGGGCATGTCTGCTACTGTGTGTTAAAGTAAAAGCCCTTTCCCCAAATTAGCACCCAGAAAGATAAATGAGTTACCACTTCAGAACTGTCTCTCCGGCATCCTGGTCCTGGGGCAGACACGGTGACAGGTAGCTGCTTCCTGGTCCAGCCTGTGCTGCTCTTGCGGCAGACACAGTGACAGGTAGCTACGGGGCTCTGAAATAAGGCAGCCCTGAGCAGAGACAGGCACGCAGGCAGGGTCAGCCACAGAATTCTGAAGACCTGAGAAGAAAGAATGCCAACTATCTCATTAATTTTTTATATTGATCCCATGTTCAAATGATAATACAGTTGGTTAAATAAAATATATAATTAAAATTAACCTTACTTGCTACCTCTTTATTAGACAGCCACTTGGATGTTGTAAATTGCAGATGGGGCTCAGAGTTGTAGCTCCTGTATTTATCATCCGGCCCTGCCCTAGACTGTTGATTAATGGGTCATAATTAATTACTCTTCCCTATTATGTCTGAGTGCCTTTTTCCCCCTTTGTCTCTTTCCAGGCACAGAAGCTGAAATCCAATGTGTCGGGCAGTACACATCTGTGTCTTAGTGATGTAAGTGCTATTTCTTTTTGTTCTTCTCTTTTTTAGGGACGTAGACTTCTGTACTGGGTAGATAATGTGTAATATTTGAAGATCAGTAAGGTCTTGGATTCAGAAAAGATCTCATCACCCTCTGTAATGTCCTGCCTTTGGAGCAAGGTGTAGAATTGAGATTCCGTGCAAAGTTAGAACTAAACGTACAACTTGTGATCTTCACCAGAAAGCCAGCCTTAACACTAAATCCACTGTTCCGTGCTGAGCGATGCCTGAGGTCAGTGACCAGGAATCGTTGTGTCTGCTGGCTCAAGAATCCTGACCTGCAGCTACTCTGGACCCTCTACCCTTGACAAAGAGATAGCTAGGTGTATTGTGTGCCCTCTTTCTCTGCTGTGAGGGGATGTAGCGTCACGGCCCTGAGCATCTGTGATGGTACAGTGGAGGTGTACACCATAGAGAAAGAGATAGCTGTGCTGGCCAGACAGAACAATGCTGTTCTGATGTAAGCTCCCGCACTGAGGAACTAGACAAGATTTTGGCCCTGTGGAACTCCTCTTGTGGGGTTAGTTAGGGATTTAGGTTGTCTCTGGCATTCATAATGAACGTCTGTCTCTCCATTAGTCACACATTCCCAGATGGTTCTTCCTGCCTTCCTTACCCCCTGGAGAGAGTCAGCAAGAAGCCCCCTTCCCAATGAGGAGGCCACAGCTGTTAGGTGGTCTAGAAAGAGAAAGGTAGCGATCCCCTCCCCCACTAGACATTTTCCATCAAAAAGGATGTGGGAAGGAGTGAGCAGAAAGCATCAGCTCCCACTTGATCCAAAAACCCCATATCTTACCTAAGTTCATGGTCCCATCTCCTAAAACTAAAAGTTAGCCCCTTGGATCTCAGTGGTTAAATCGCAGGGCAGCTTTTTGTGAGAGTCTGCGGTTAGGGAGCGGAAAGTGGGATAGAGTGCATGGGTGAAATACAACATGAGGGAGTGGGTCCATGTCGCGGATGATAACGAAAACTTTCTTTCTTACAGCCTGATTACGAAACGGATGGTCTCGCTGGTGCCTCCAGCCGCATAAACAAAAATTCTATGTCTGCTGCTCCCAGTTGCAGTCTGAGCTCACTGCCGGCTCTGGTGGTCACCACTGTAGCCACCCTGTTATCTGTAGCCTTGGCAGAAACATTGTAGCTGCGTTCAGAAAAGATGGAAAGACAAGGGAGAGAAAAGAACAAACAAAACCAAGCCACCAGTTTCCTGTCCTCTTGTATATCTGAAAATCCAGTTTTAAAAGCTCTGCTGAGAAACCGTTTCATCCAACTGGAACTCTTTTGTTGTTTTTAAGGAAGCTTCTCGTGACCCCCAGGGGCTTCTGTGGAAGAACCACTACAGGGCTGACGCCAGCCAGACTCAGAAGGCTCCGCGGCATGGTGTGGGTTAAGGGGACCATTTGTAAACTGAATGTAAAGCAATCTTGAGGCTGTGTTTTTGATGGTGATGGTTATGGTGGTGAGGATGATGGTGGTGATGATGGTGGTGATAGTTTTAACAGCTTAAAGTCTGTTCTCTCTACTGGCTAGAACAGGAGATGCTATTGACAAACATTCTTCCCTGTCTTATTTAATAGCTTTGAACTGTATTAACATGACTGCGCCCTGATAATGATGACAAATGAAGGTTGGCCTCACGAGTGGACTTTTTGGACTCCTTCCTGTACTAAAAATGTCCACCTCTCTATGTACATTCTGTACACAGTGTTTATGTACCTACCGACAATTACCTACCGACAATTCTGTGACCCTCAACAAAACAAAAAACCCGGTCACATCCAAATGGAGAACCTGTCATTCAACCCAGTAGAGGAGAGGCGGCCGCAGGCCTCACACAGTGCCGGGATTGCTGACTGACCCTCTCCTGAGCCTTGCCTGAGTGAGAAGCCCTCTAACAGGAGCCGGCTACGGCTGAAGTGCAACTCTTAATGCTTTTTACACCTACGACGTCACACGTAGAAAAGGTGTTGCTTTATTATTCAGTGATTCCAACTATTGGCTTTCTACGTTTTAAAAGTAACGATACGTCCTTGTTTTTTACTGATGGTTTAATACAGACACATGCAGCGTGTTTTCCTCTCACGGTTAGTGCCGGCCCCAATATTAACTTCACTGGTAACAGCTCCCGGAGCAGACCCCCAGGAGCCCCCATGCTTTAGCTGAGACTGCATCACATTACTGTGGACAGGCAGGAGAAAACAGCAGCCAGCTCCTGTCTATCCAGCTGGAAAAGCAAGGCTGCGGACACGGAAGGGACATGGCCACCGTTTAGAGCAGTTGGTTTTAGAGTCACCAGGCATCTGCTCTATCTACCCCTATGACCTTTATCACAGACTGTGCCCCTGCAGAAAGGAATGGTGGTTTGTGGATCTTGAGGGCTAACATGGGGTCTGGAAAGGTGAATTGGTTGTCAAAAACACACAGAGCAGGATCGGACTGTCTTGATGGGACATGTGGCTTACACAGCCACACACCTCCTCCTGAGTCCTCTTCCTCGCCTGAGCAGACCCTTGGGTGTGTATCTAAGCCCTGCTTTAGATGGTCAGGTCCAGAATCTTCAGCTGATTGCTTACTGGCAACTGTCTTTTCCTCAAAAGTGAATAAAGGAAAGAAATTCTTCCTCCATGGAGCCCTGGGAGTGTGATCTTGCTTCCCACCCTCAGAGAGACAGAGGCGGGAGCCCTGGGGCACACATACCTGCCCCTGCTCTCTGAGATTGGCCTTGGGTGATAACAGTTCACCTGGGAGAGGGGGAAGAAGTCTGTGAAAGTCAAGAGATGAACCTGGTTTTCAGCTCTTTTGGTGTCTGGGTACATTTATATCCAAATGCTAATGAATACCAGTGTAAAATACTCAGTAGCAGCATTTTTTTATGTCGAAATGTTTCATGGGAAATGCTTCCAGCATCCACGTTTGCCTGATGAGTGGGAAGTTCCATGAAGACTCATAACGTACAGCGAATAAACACCTTGAGTGTCTCAAAGCCGTTAGGATGCCAGTCATGTGGGAGCGTATCTCTTACAGAGCATATTTGGTTTTAATTAAGGTATCTCCATGTATCTACACTGGACTAATCGCGTGTGGGTCTGACTGGGTGGGATCCACCTTAGGAAGCTATCGATTAGCCCTGCAGTCTGCTGCAGCCCTAATTAGCTTCAGAGGACCACAGAGGAAACAGGAGTCCTATGCTAACAAGGGCAGCCTTCAACCAAGAACTCATAGTTATGCAACATGCAAATCAAACTTGGAAAAGCTCTTGCCAACAAAAATCTGGTTTTCTTTCAGAAATGAAAACATAGGAGTGCTACCAAATCCTCAGTTTGAAAGCAAGTAGCTGAGGAGATAAACAGTGGGTGGGGCCTCGTTTAGGGACCTCGCAGTGGGGAGACTTAGAAAACCAGCTCAAGTTAGCCAGCTTGTCATGGCGATCTCGACTTGACTGTGAAGTTGACAGATTTGTCTGGAGAGTGGAGCAGGAAACGCGGCAGTCTTCTCACCTGACCCTCCTAGAGCCCTGATGAGCAGTTTGCCACTTTGTAACCCTCTGCTCTCCCTTCTTCCAGACTCAGGTTTGGTCTGCTGGGCTTGATTCCTTGCAGAAAGTTCCTCACGGAAGGAAGTTGACTTTGCTAGCATAGCAGACAGGTGTGTCCAGAGTGATTCAGAACCTAGCCTGCCCTACTTCTTCAGAGAAAGAAGGCGACAGAGCCTCACTGAGTAGAAGCACAGTCGTTCAGCCCGACCTTGAATGTCCTAGAGCAGATAGCCTTTGTGAGTTTGTCAGAGAGCACAGGAGAGGAGATGCGCGCAGCAGGGAGGGGATTCGGCATGGAACGCCGCCTTTTTCCACATCTGATTTTTTTTAAACCTCTAATAGAAAAAAAGTAGACAATGCACATTGCGAAGGGTTATTTTTCATCGAGTAAAGCGAATTGTATCTAGGTGTGATTGGAAGGTAGTTTCTATTTTGTTTGGAAGGCAATTCCATGTCTTGTAGTTAAGCAGAAATGTCTAAAGTTACAGCTTTAAGTTCATCCCAATACAGCACAGGAACTCTCCAGAGTCCTCAGTTTAATCCTTGTCTGTAAGTCAGACATTCCCAAACATCCCATCTGCTGAGTCAGAGACAAGAGAGGGTGAAAGTGTGTTTGAATCAATGTTTAGTTAGGAGAAGAGACATAAAAGCAGTGGGGTTTATATAATTAGCAGTTATTTTCTTAGATTCCAACATAAACGTACTTCAGTTATTACTTACAAAATAGTGGACTCAGAGGAGCTATCGTTGGGAAATGTGTTTTTATTCACATAGCCAGACATGCACGACTTTCCTGATCCATGTGGACCAGAGGAAGGTTGCTTAAGTAAGCTCTTGTTCTGCCTTTTGAATGCCGCTCTGGTCTCCGTGAGTCACCTCCCTGCAGTCTCTGCTGGTGTTGCTTGTGCTCTTTGCCTGAGCGAATGAGACCATGGGAGACTTATCTTTGTAAGAAAAACCGCGGCAACAGATGGCAGTGAATTACCATGGCCTGGGCACTGTGGCACCAGGTGGCCCATCTTCCCTGAGCCAACAGGGGTTGGAGAGATGAAGTGAAATCAAGGTGCAACAAGCTGCCAAGACAGCCAGTGGGCTGTTGACTTTGCTGATGCCCCTCTCTGGGGCTGTGTTCTTCTGATAATACAGCGGTGTCCTGAGAGAGTCGGGAGGTCTTTGGAAAGGAAGGCATACAAGATGGTGACGAGGGAGGACTTTGCTTTTAGAAACCCTCGAGTCTAGGCATGTGGCTGGGTAACCCTAAGAGCTGTGTTTCTCACCCTGAGCAAGGAATCTCATGTCTTTATCTGACATGATGCAGCTTGACTTTGATGCAGCTTTTCTTACTGGGCAGGTTTAAGTCTTTTCTAGAATTCTTCACGAAGAACCGTTACTTAGGAATGATAGTCTGGCTGCAGAGGCCTTACTCCCATGGGCTCCTCCTGTGCCTCTGTATGCACTCTGTAGGATGTGCATTTCCCAGGGAGAGAGATGTCTTACACTGTGGTTGGTTTGGTCACGGTCCTGTTGATTGGTGACGCCGCTGCATTTCCCTTTTCTTTTATTGCCTGAGTCTCTTCTAACGTAATCTTCACCCCAGTCACTCTGAATTCAATGCTGCCAATGTCCAGCCACGTCCCATCAGATGCTCATCTTGTGGAAGGAAGCCTGTCTGGAGCCAGGTGATGAAGCATCAAATCAGGAATGCCAGCCCCTCCCCCTCTCTTGAGAGCCCTCTTCACTTGTGGTACCCTGCCCCCAAGCCCTCATGGGAATCCCTTTGCTATCTGGGGGGCTCCCTGATAGTCCCAGAGGCTCTCAGAGTGACTCTTCATCTGAATGTGCCACCTGCATTTCTGATGAGTTCTGAGCCCCAGCCCAGAGGGTTGGGGAAGGCTCACAAACCCAATTGCAGTAAGCTGCCTGCAGACTGCTCCAGCCTGCTGCTAGTCATCAAGGCCTCCGAGGCCCTGAAGGTCTGTCTCCAAGCTCATTTGACCAACGCAGCTGTGACTTCGGCTGTCTGCCGCTGGCAGGTGCCAGTATCAACATCTTGTCCCACTGCCATGAGGAGGATTTCATTTCCACTGCAGGGCAGCTGCCAAGCCCAGCACCAGCACCAACAGAAAGAATTCTCTGGGTTTTCTCTCTTTAACACACTCTGAAACCTTCTTATTAGTCTCCACTTTGATCTTATAGGGGATGCCAGGAGACATAACACTGCTCCCGGCTTAATGCCCTCCCTCATAGGTCCAGCCTATAACAAGTACTTTTAAAATGCTGGTTGCCTGAAAATCATGGGACACCAAAGGGCTTCATTCTGCCCCATGGCAGCAAGAACTGTCCAGGCACATAGCTGTGCTGACCTTGACTGGCACTTAGCAGTGGACTGGGATGCTCCTGGGTCTAGGAAGATGCTCAGCTCACCGTGTTTCCTGCCAAGAACTGAGACTTGAGCAGTCGTCCTTAGAGGAAGTGGGCATGACCAACTAATCCCAGCAGATCTACATCTGCCCGGCCAATGAGCCTGTGGAGATTTTCATCTCCATTAAACAATGGTGCCAGACCCTTCCAGCCACCGCAGGGGGATAGCCTTTCCATACCCCATCCCAGGAAGGAAGGGCCAACATTTATCCACTTAGCACACATGGTAGGCAGGTTCTGACGCTGGCTGGACCACCCTTTGGCACAGCAGCTTCCCCACAAAGAACTGGGACATCTTAGGTTCCTTGGCGTTCCCAGGGGGAACACCTATTCCTGTTTACCTGCTGATTGGTGCAATGCTTTGGGCACTCTATAATAGGTAGGCTATGGTTCTTGTGTCTCAGTTTCTATCTGGACAGACCAAAGCAGCTGCTGTGAGGGGGGGAGGCAGACAGTGTCCCTGAAAGAACCCAGGCCTCAGATGGCCAGGAGCATAGCATCAACGGGGATGTCATATTGGTCGAGAGCTTGTCACAAGCACGACAGTGGGGGACACGGGAGTGGCTTTGAGGATAGCAAAAAACAGGACTCGTTTTGAAATAGTTTTAGCGTACAAAACAATGGGTTTCATGATTCTGTTTTCATACACATATATCATCATATTCTTCGTATGCCTCCTCTCTCTCTTGTCTCCCCATCTCACTGATTCTCTTCGTCTGGCTGTGTTTAAATAGCTAAACTCTAAATATCTGCAGGGAACCTTGATGCCCATGGAACACAACATAGATCCCACAGTTCAAGTGAATTGACATGAAGAACTGGAAAATCTAGTGGTCGCTCTGGTACAGGAAACTCAGGTTTGGTTTTGTTTCATAGTAAAGAGTGGTCATCAGAGGGCAGAGAAGACATTAACTATGCCTTCTAACACACTGGACTGTAAGATACCGTCGGCTCAGACACGACCCACCTCCTCCTCTTCACTCAGGCGGGGCTGCACGGTCCAGCAGCAGCATCTTGGTGTGAAAAGTGTGCTTGATCTGAGTCTGGGTTGTTACTGTTCGTCTGCGACTGAAGGTGTTTCTGGAGGAAAAGAAAAAGAGCAAACAAGCTGTAAAAGCAGTCAAGCTCAGCTGCTGTGCTTTTCTGGATTCAGAGAGAGCTGATGTCCTCAGAGATTTGAAAGATGGCTTCAGAAACCCCAAATCCAGAGCCTTGCAGCCTCCCTAATTATCTGGCTTTGCTCTCTCCTCTCTCACCCAGGGGACAAGGGAAAGCTGCCCATCACACAGCTCGCTTGAGAGAGTTTCCTGTCTTGTGCACATTATCCCTTCATATTGAAATTATTTTCCCTGTTTAATCCAGCTCCTGCTGAGAAGCTGTGTGGGATTTAGGATGCAGGATTTTGTCTTGTACTTTCCAATGGGGTTGCATCTTTTACTCCTAACCGGAGGATATGTTTCAGCTGCTGCTGATCTGGTCCGGGCAGGTTAGTTTTAAGTAGAGAGGACGCCAGTTTCTGATGAGGTATTTTCAGAATTCTGACCCGAACAAGGGCCCAGATTCCTCCTCAGAGCCAGGATGAGAAGAAGAGCAGGTTTGGTTAGGAGGTCTCAGGTTAGGAGAGGCCACCTTGTGTTCACAGTGTTTCCCACACACCCAGGAAGGGGAAATTGCCTCGCTGGGCGGCAGATCTGCTGAGGACAGGGGTTCCTCTCCCAGGTTGCCCTGCATCTTCACTCAGCCCCTTGGATCATGCTTCTAGCCAACAGAAGACCACCGACGTGTAGAAGGACAGTTTTCCGTTTGAACTATGGCAGAGGTTCGATGATGTTTGAATTTTCTGTCTGCCTCCTGCTCAAACCCTACAGAGTGTATGTAGTCCCTTTGGCCCTCCCCACCCCCAGAATATCCCAATAAACGTTCTTTTCTTTTATAAAAAAAAATGGCTTGTATTATTTTTTTGTCTTGGTGGCCAAGTCCCTGACAGAAGCAATTGAAAGGGGAAAAGGTTTATCTCAGCCCACAGTTTGAGGGAACAGTCCTCACAGAGGAGAACATGGTGAGAGACTATAATTCCTCATTTCCCGATAGGCCAGAAAACTCAGGCTGGAAGTGGGGCCAGACTATAGCCCTCAAGGTCCACCTTCCTGCAGCAGCCTATGTCCTTCAGGAAAATCCTGCCTCATAAAAGTTCGAGAACCTTCTGAAATAGTGTGACCAACTGGGGGCTCCATTTTCAAAGACTTGAACCTATGAGGAACATGTTACGTTCAAACCATAACATGGGTGCTTTGATGTCTTTTGTTTATACCTTAATTTTTTTAAAAAAAATGATGTTAAGAAAGATGCTTTTTGAAACAGGGTCTCACTGTGTAGCCCTGGCTGGCCTGGAACTCGCTATGTAGACCAGGCTGTCCTCGACTCAGATCTGCCTGCCTCTGCCTCTCCAATGCTGGCATTGGTGATGTGCAATAGCACACCCAGGAGAATGTTGAAAATTTACAGAGCTCTCCAAGACAGAGATGCTAGTGTTTGGGCTGACGGATCATAAAGGATGCAATATACTTGACACGAAGCCTTGTGTCCTCACTTCCCAACCTGGGCACTACTGGCTTGTGTAAGAAGATAGGCGAGTGAAAGTAGGTCAGGTCCTCGGCATTGTCAGTATTTGGTAGCATAAGTAGCGCAAATAATGAAAACCCAGAGCTGAAGATACTGGGGCTCAACCTAAAAACCAGAAAGGAAAAGCAGCCGGTTACTAGAGAGGTCTTCCCTCTACCGAGGCTGTGTAACTGCAGGCTAAGCAGACAAAACAGACTAAGCCTCTCTCTGCTCCTCTTTACCGTCTCCTTAGTACTACAGTTAAAGGCACGACTCCCTGGTACTGAGATTAAAGGTGTGAGCCACCACCACCTGGATGTGTTTCAGCACTGATCTTGTGTAGCCCAGGCTGGCCTTGAACTCACAGAGATCCATAGGCCTCTGTCTCCCAAATCCTGGGATTAGAGGTGTGTGCCACCACTGCCTGACCTCTAGTGGCTTAGATTTGCCCTTCTGATCTTTAGGCAAATTTTATTTATTAAAATGTAAATAAAATCTCATTCTATCCCTGGGCAAGCCCAGCCTTCAAATGGTTTCTCAGCATTGCCAGATGCTCAGTTGGATGGGCCAGTGTCACCCCTAGCTGATGCTCTGAAGGCGTAAGTCACGAACCAGGCCACACCAGTTTGGAGTTATGATTAATAGGGTGTTATTTATTTAAAGGGGAAAACTTACAGATCACCATCCCAGACAACAGCCATCTGCACAACCAGGAAGGGAGTCTAGTCTCCGGCGGAGCAGTAAGAGAAGAGAGCGAGCAGGGGAAATAGCTGCTTTTTTAAAGGGAGTGAGACCACGCCCCAATGGGCTGGTATCACAGCAGCTATTGGTTGGAGGGGCGGAAAGACCTCCCGCAACACCTCCCCCTTTTATTTAAGTAAGAGAGTTCTAAACCTACTATGAAATTATATACAATAAGTACAAATATCCTATTCTAACTAGCTTAGGTCTTGTATAATAAATAACTTGGCCAAGTCGTGAGAAAAA